TCAGTCCTTCATTCTATGTACTCCTTGAAATTCCTGACATATTTTTCAGCCGCTTTGTGGTCCGAACTGGCAGCCTCACCAGCCTTATCACACTATGGATCCCAAACTACGCTTCTTAAATCTCTCAAACCAACCTTTTGTGGCCTAAATTCACTAAAACATCATCACTAGTTGCAGGCATTTTTTTAATTAAATCCACATGCAACTTCTAGCCTTTCCCACAATGATCGCTTGAGAGATGCTATCTCCTGCTAGCTGTTTTTCATTATCCAACCAATAAGATTCTCTCAACATTTTCCACCACTTGCGACTTTGTTTCAAACACAGTTAAAACCTTTGGCAAGAACAGCTTCCTTAAAGGGTCTTTCTGGTGCCCACATATACGATGGTTGATTGGGGTTTCTTGTACAGGCTTGACAAGGTCGGCTATATGCACTCCACTTTCATACTTATCAATTACTCTTTCTTCATTTCTAAGTAATTCTTACCCTTGAGGGGGGTAGGGTTGGCACTAGAAGCTTTTTTGGGGCCCATGGTCACTTATTTTCCAGAAACACACCGAAAATACTGTAATAATTTACGAAATTTTTCCGAGTGTATGCTGGATGTTACCGGGGAAAGTCTGGCTGGAAAACAATGGACGGGCGCACATTGAGCTGGTGAGGGCACATTGGACCGCTCGACGAAAATTCGGTGAGCGGTTTTTAATCGGTATGCGCGGCAAAAATTTGCATAAAAGTAATCGATCCCGGAAAAATCGCTAGTGATCCCAAATCTTATCGGGGTCCACTGTAACTGTTCTATTACACATCCCTCCAAACTGCCAATATCCCAAACCCCTCCTTTAAAGTGCAGGCATTATAATTCCCATTTCCAAAACTCAAGACTGACTATATAAAAACAACTTATTTCCCTGAATCCCTTCACTAAATATTACCCTGTTCACACTCCAACAGCTCGTCAGGTCCCAAAACTCACTCGTCTCCATTCACTCCTATCTAACACACTCGTGCACTCTTCCTGGAAGTCCAAGCCCCTCGCCCACAAAACCTCCTTTACCCCCTCCCTCCAAACTTTTCAGGGATGACCCCTACCCCGCCTTCCTTCCCCTACAAATTTATATGCTCTCCATGTCATTCTGCTTTGATTCATTCTCAATAAATGACTAAACCACCTCAACAACCCCTCTTTAGCTCTCTGACTAATACTTTTAGTACCGTCACACCTCCTAATTTCCACACTTCGAATTCTCTGCATAATATTTACACCGCACACTGCCCTTAGACAGGACATCTCCACTGCCTCCAAGCGCCTCCTCACTGCAGCATTTACAATCCAAGCTTTACACCCATATAAGAGTGTTGGTACCATTATACTTTCATACATTCCCTTCTTTGCCTCCATTGATAATGTTTTTTTGTCTCCACACATACCTCAACACACCACTCACCTTTTTTCCATCATTTCTATGGTTAACCTCATCCTTCATAAACCAATCTGCTGACACATCAGCTCGCAAATATCTGAAAACATTCACTTCTTCCATACTCCCTCTCTCCAATGTGATATCCAATTATTCCTTATCTAAATCATTTGATACCTTCATCACCTTACTCTTATTTATGTTCACTTTCAACTTTCTACCTTTACACACCCTCCCAAACTCATCCACTAACCTTTGCAACTTTTCTTTAGAATCACCCATAAGCACAATATCATCAGCAAAAAGTAACTGTGTCAAGGCCCATTTTGTATTTGATTCCCCATAATTTAATCCCACCCCTCTTCTCAACACCCTAGCATTTACTTCTTTTACAACCCCATCTGTAAATATATTAAACAACCATGGTGACATTACACATCCCTGTCTAAGACCTACTTTTACCGGGAAGTAATCTCCCTCTTTTCTACACACCCTAACCTGAGCCTCACTATCTTTACAGCATTTATTAACTTACTACCTATTCCATATACTTGCAACATCTGCCACATTGTTCTCCTATCCACTATCATATGCCTTATCAAAATTCATAAATGGAATGAAAACTTCCCTACCTCTATCTAAATACTATTCACATATATCCTTCAATGCAAACCACAATCTACACATCCCCTACCCACTCTAAGGCCTCCTTGCTCATCTGAAATCCTACTCTCTGTCTTACCTCTAATTCTTTCAATAATAACCCTACTTGTATACTAAGTAAACTTATTCCCCTATAATTTTTACAATCTCGTTTGTCCCCATTCCCTTTATATAAAGGAACTATACATGTCCTCTTCCATACATTTATTAAATAAAAATACCAACCACTCCAACACTATATTCCCCCTGCTTTCAACATTTCTGTCATGATCCCATCAGTTCCTGCTGCTTTACCCCCTTTCATTCTACGTAATGCCTCACACACCTCCCCCACACTCACATCCTGCTCTTGTTAACTTCTAAAAGATGTTATACTTCCCTGGCCAGTGCATGAAATGACCGCCGCCCTTTCTTCGTTGACATTTAAAAGTTCCTCAAAATATTCCTGCCATCTACCCAATACCTCCAGTTCCCCATCTACTAACTCCCCCACTCTGTTTTTAACTGACAAATCCATTCATTCCCTAGGCTTTCTTAACTTGTTTATCTCATTCCAAAATTTTTTCTTGTTTTCATTACAATTTCTTGACAGTGCCTCTTCCACTCTATCTGCTCTCTTTTTGCACTCTCTCACCACTCTCTTCACCTTTCTTTTACTCCCCCATAATACTCTGCTCTTCTTATAACACTTCTTTGTAAAAACCTCTTATAAGCTACCTTTTTCTCTTTTATCACACCCTTTACTTCATCATTCCACCAATCACTCCTCTTTCCTCCTGCACCCACCCTCCTATAGCCACAAACTTCTGCCCCACATTCTAATACTGCATTTTTAAAACTATTTTAACCCTCCTCAACCCCCATCCCTACTCATGCTTGCATTAGCCCACCTTTCTGCCAATAGTTGATATATCTAACCCTAACTTCCTTAGATATAGGAAGAATGGTGAACTCCAAATGAACATAAACTACAAAATGACGGCAGACCATCTCAAAGAATATACACATGATACATCATATGATGTGTCACTTCTAGACAACAAAGTAAATGTAACAAAGGCCATAAATAACAATGTGAATAATGAGAATTTTTTGAACATGAGAAATAATGTCATCTAGAACACTGATCTGTGTTAACAGTTCCATTCAAGGCAGGAAAATACACAGATATCATTTGCTGCCCACATAGTCAATAAAACATTTAAATTATTGGGAACACTTTAAAGTACTTGGAATATGGTCTTTGAAAAAAAGGAGTGAGATACCTGATAATATACACCTGTAAGATATTTGAGGGCCAGGTCCCAAATCTACATAATTTATTTGAGTGAGCAATATAGGAGGAAGAATCGATTAAATCCTATGAAAAGCAGGGGTGTCACAGACACAATATGAGAATAAAGTATTAGTATCCAACATACTGTGACCAGTTTCTAAAGTCTATCCCAGAGAATGACCTGAACCAAGCTTTTCTTGGGCTTGCCTTGTCAACCAGGCTGTTGTTGTTTGCAGCCAACTGGTCTACATATCCATCACAGTCTGGTTGATCTGTCACCTTGAAGAGGTAGTGATAGTTTCTTCCTGAAGACTGATACACTTGTTCCAGCAGTATTTCTGATATTTGATGGTAGAAGTTAACCCTTTCAGGGTCCAGAGGCGAAATTTCAAAGTGTGCACCAGGTTCCAAGAATTTTCAAAAAATAATTTTGTTATTTTTTCTTATGAAATGGCAGAGAATCTTTTTCTGAAGGTAATAAAACAAAAACTACGAAATTTGATGGAAAATTTACAAAATTATGTTCTCGCCAATTTTGATGTGTCGGCGATATCTACACATCGGCAATTTTGCCGACTTTGACTCCAATTTCAGGCCAATTACAGTATTCCAGTCAACCAAATTCTTAGCTATTTCACTAGTATTACTTCTATTTTATCGATTGAGCACAAGAAATTGCCAAGTCAACTGTTTCAACATCAAAATAAAGTGACCGGAAACTGGTAATCTGGCCAATTTAATGCAAAGATCAAAATGTTCCAATTTCAAAATAGGGTCCAGAATAAACAATGCAGGCATTCCTGGCACTAAACTAATTTTCTCTGTTCATTAGTTACATTTTCTGGCTTTACAAATGAATTCCACCTTAATTTTTTATTCACATAATGAATTTTTATTCAAACCAAAAAATAGAAGATTTACTGTTATGCAATACTGTAATAATTGTATAAATAATATCACCACATTTGTGAATGTATATTAGACCCACCAGCTGTCATATATTAGACTTGTGAGGTCATTTGTTTACTCTTGAACATCAGCAAAAATTTAACATTTCTGCTACTTTTAGCTCAGTTTCAAGCCATTTCCAGTACGAAAACCAATCAAAATCATCTCTATTTCTGTAGTATATCTTCCTTTCTATCAAATGAGACCAAGAAATTGCAAATGCAACTATAAAAAACATACGAAAAAACACTGCAAAGTCGCTGTTTTAATCGAAAATAACGGTCTCATTTTTTTTCTCTCATTACGCACTGTGTGCTGCAGGATTTGTTTTATGTGGTGCACACATACCACATAGATGTATTCTCTCATATCTAGGCCAAAATTTACTGCTCACAGCTTATCAGAGTGAGCTGAGCTCATGGCATAGATCTACGGTTTGGACCCTGAATGTAAAGCCGTAGATCTACGGCACAGACCCTGAAAGGGTTAAATAGCTGAGTCCCACTCGTAATGGTCTTGACTATTATACCCATGGAGCCCCTGTTTTTCGAAGTTCAAAAAACTTTGATAGACTGCATACTGAAGATCAGATACCACAAGTCAAGCTCTGCTTCTATAGATACAAATAAGTATACCACTGAAATAGTTCAGCCCTATACAGAAATGTAGTTCAACCAATAGTAAACTCACCAATTCTTCAATGTCATTGTCCCCAATGTCAAGTCTCTCCAATTTAGTGAGCTGAGAGACAGATTCAGGTAGACCTTTGAGCAAATTTTCTCTTAGTTCCAATGACTGTAGGTTCACCAAACTGAAAAAAAAACATTAAATAAATAAATATAAATAAATATTATATATATACTTTTTTTTCAACAAGTTGGCCGTCTCCCACCGAGGCAGGGTGACCGAAAAAGAAGGAAAATCCCCAAAAAGAAAATACTTTCATCATCATTCAACACTTTCACCTCACTCACACATAATCACTGTTTTTGCAGAGGTGCTCAAAACACAACAGTTTAGAAGCATATACGTATAAAGATACACAACATATCCCTCCAAACTGCTAATATCCCAAAACCCCTCCTTTAGAGTGCAGGCATTGTAATTCCCATTTCCAGGGCTCAAGTTCGGCTATATAAAAAAACCGGTTTCCATGAATCCCTTCACTAAATATTACCTTGCTCACACTCCAACAGATCGTCAAGTCCCAAATACCATTCGTCTCCATTCACTCCTATCGAACACGCTCATGCACGCCTGCTGGAAGTCCAAGCCCCTCACCCAACAAAACCTCCCTTATCCCTTCCTTCCAACCTTTTTTGAGGATGACCCCTACCCCGCCTTCCTTCTCCTACAGATTTAAATGCTCTCCATGTCATTCTACTTTGATCCGTTCTCTATAAATGACCAAACCACCTCAACAACCCATCTTCAGCCCTCTGACTAATATTTTTATTAACTGCACACATTCTCCTAATTTCCACACTCCGAATTTTCTGCATAATATTTACACCACATATTGCCCTTAGACAGGACATCTCCACTGCCTCCAACCGCCTCCTTGCTGCTGTATTCACAACCCAAGCTTCACACCCATATAAGAGTGTTGGTACTACTATACTTTCATACATTCCCTTCTTTGCCTCCATAGATAACGTTTTTTGACTTCACATATACCTCAACGCACCACTCATCTTTTTTCCTTCATCAATTCTATGATTAACCTCATCCTTCATAAATCCATCCGCCGACACGTCAACTCCCAAGTATCTGAAAACATTCACTTCTTCCATACTCCTGCTCCTCCCCAATTTGATATCCAATTTTTCTCTATCTAAATCATTTGATACCCTTGTCACCTTACTCTTTTCTATGTTCACTTTCAACTTTCTACCTTTACACACACTCCCAAACTCATTCACTAACCTTCGCAATTTTTCTTTAGAATCTCGCATCAGCACAGTATCATCAGCAAAAAGTAACTGTGTCAATTCCCATTTTGTATTTGATTCCCCATAATTTAATCCCACCCCTCTCATGAACACCCTAGCATTTACTTCTTTTACGACCCCATCTATAAATATATTAAACAACCATAGTGACATTACACATCCCTGTCTAAGACCTACTTTTACCGGGAAGTATTCTCCCTCTCTTCTACACACCCTAACCTGAGTCTCACTATTCTCACAAAAACTCTTTACAGCATTTACTAACTTACCACCTATTCCATATACTTGCAACATCTGCCACATTGCTCCCCCATCCACTCTATCATATGCCTTTTCTAAATCCATAAATGCAATAAAAACTTCCCTATCATTATCTAAATACTGTTCACATATATGCTTCAATGTAAACACTTGATCTACACATCCCCTACCCACTCTGAAACCTTGCTCATCCGCAATCCTACATTCTGTCTTACCTCTAATTCTTTCAATAATAACACTACCGTACACTTTTCCTGGTATACTCAATAAACTTATTCCTCTATAATTTTTACAATCTCTTTTGTCCCTCTTATTATCACACTGGCCGATTCCCACCAAGGCAGGGGGGCCCGAAAAAAAAACTTTACCATCATTCACCCCATCACTTCTTGCCAAAGGGGTGTTTATCATTTTTAAAAACTGCAACTTAAACCCCTCCTTCAGAGTGCAGGCATGTATTCCCATCTCCAGGACCAAGTCCGGCCTCCCGGTTTCCTAAACCCCCTTAAAATTTTATTTTGCTCACACTCCAACAGCCCCAAAAACCCCCCTAGGCGACCCCTTACCCCCCCTTTCCCTTTCCCATCAGACTGATAAAACTCTTGACTTCTGTTTGCTCCATTCTTTTACATGTCCGAACCCCCTCAACAACCCTTCCTACCCCATTGGACAAAGTTTTGGTAACCCCGCCCCCTCCTAATTCCCAAAACACGAATATCTGCTTAAATTCCCCCAACATTCCCCCCAGACGACATCTCCACTGCCTCCAGCCTTCCCCTTGCTGCAACATTCACCCCCCCATGCTTCCACTCATATAAGAGGGGGGGTAAAACATACCTCATACTTTCCCCCTCTTTGACTCAAAGGAAAAGTTTTGTCTCCAAACCCCTAAGTGCACCACTAAAACCTTTTCCCCTAATCAATTCTATGATTTCCCCTATCTTTATAGACCACCCGTGACAGTCCCTCCCAAAATATTGAATCATTCACCTCCTATACTCTCTCCCTCCCAAACTGTATCCCAAACTTTCTCACCCAATCTTTTTTTTTATCCTCTAACCTTTCTTTTTCCCGTATTTAATTTTAAATTTTTTTCTTTTGCATTTTCCCCCACCAAAATTTATCAACAATCTCTGCAAATTTTCTTCAAATCTCCCAAAAGCACAGGTCTCAGCAAAGAGCAACTGTGCAATCCATTTTGTGGGATTCTTTACTTTTAACTCCACGCCTTTGTCAAGACCCCCGCATTTACTTCTCTTACAAACCCATCTAAAATATAAAACAACCCGGGGACACACAACTCCTTTTCTAAGGCTATTTTATGGAAATAATTTCCCTCTTTCCTACATACTCTAAACTTTAGCCTACTATCCCGTAAAAAAATCTTACTTCTTTCGTAACCTACCTCCTACACCTACACCTGCAACTCTGCCACATTGCCCCCCCTATCCACCCGTCATATCCTTTTCCAATCCATAAAAGCCACAAAGACCCTTTTCCTTATCTAAATATGTTTTATTATATGTTTCACTGTAAACACCTGGCCACACACCCCCACCTTTCCTAAAAACCTCCTTTGTTCATCTGCTTCCCATTCTCCCTTAATCTTAATTCTTTCAATTTAAAAACTCTACCATACACTTTAACCCGGTATACTCAACAGATTATCCCCCCAAAATTTTTTTCACCCCTTTTGTCCCCTTTCCTTTTTACAAAGGGAATTGCATCTCTCTGCCCCCTAGGTTTCCTTACCCTCTTCCTACATTTATTAAAAAATTGCAAACCACCCCAAAACTATATCCCCCCCTGCTTTTAACTTTCTATTTTATCCCATCAATCCCGGCTGCCTTACCCCTTTCATTTTACCTCTGCCTCACGAACTTCCCCCACACTCAAACGGGGGTCTTCCCACTCCTACAAGATGTTGTTCCCCCCCTTTCCCCCTATAACGAAATCAAGCTTCCCTATTTTTCATAACATTTAACAATTCCTCAAAATATTCCTCCATCTTCCCATACCTCAACTCTCCATTTAATAACTCTCCTCTCTTTTTTTAACTGCAAATCCATTTGTTCTCTAGGCTTCTTAACTTGTTTAATCTCACTCCAAAAATTTTTCTTATTTTCAACAAAATTTTTTGATAACATTCACCCCCTCAAAACATTTTCTTCTTTTTCATTGCTTTCCCACTCTCTTAACCCCTCTCTTTTTCCCATATACTCTTCCCTCCTTTATATTCTACTTTGTAAAAACTTCTCATTTTCTAACTTTTTTCCTTACTGTCTCTTTAAACATCATTCCACCAATGCTCCTCTTCCCTCCCGCACCCCCCTTTCCTGTAACCACAAACTTTGTGAACACACTAACACTACATTTTTAAACCTACCCCATTACCTCTTCGACCCATTGCCTATGTTCCCTTAGCCCCCCTTCCTCCAAAAATGTTTATATTTTCCCCAACTGCCTCCCTTTTAGTTTTTAAACCCTTCACCCCTCTCTTCCTTTATCTTCTATTCCTTGTATCCCATCTACCTTTTGTTCAGTGCAGTAAATAGAAAAATATTGATATTCTGTGGCCCCTTAAAACATGTACATCCTGAAGTCTACTAAGTCTTTTTCTACCAACATAACCCAAAACAAACTACTGTCATTTCGCCCTACATCATATTTGTATACTTATTTATCATTTTTTTTTTAAAAATATGTATTACCTATAACAAACCCCCCTCTCTATACAAAGTTCAATCAAAGGGCTCCCTTATCATTTACACCTGGCACCCCAAACTTCCTCCCACCCCTCTTAAAAGTTTCTCCTACTTTAGCTTTAGGCCCATACCACAATTACTCTCTCACTTGTTCTAGGCTCCTATACTTTCATTAACATCCCCCAAAAAATCTCTCTCTCTCCTTGCTTTCCCTTTTCCCCTTTTATTAAAGGGATATACCGTCTTGCCAACCCCTGGGTCCCTTCCCCTCTTTCTCATTTATTAAACAAAAGTCCCAACCATCCAACACTTATCCCGCCTGCTTTTAAAACATTTCTGTCATACCCCATCGTTCCAGTGCTTTCCCCCCCTCTCATTCTCCGTAATGTCTCATTCCTCCCCCACACTTAGATTTTGCTCTATTCACTCCTAAAAGATGGTATACCTCCCCGGCCGTGCATGAAAAATTTCCCCCTCCCTTTCTCCTCAACATTTTAAAAAGTTCCCCAAAAAAAATTTTCGCCATCTACCCAATACCGGTGGTCTGGTGGTAAAATCCGCTTCAACACAGAGGGCCCAGGTTCGATTCCCGGCGGGTGGAAAATTTCGACACGTTTCCTTAACCTGGTCCCGTTCACCTGCAGCAAATAGGTACCCGGGGTTAGTGGGCTGGTGTGGGTCGCATCTGGGGGGGCAAAATTTAAAGGGCCCCCTGGAAATAAGTTAGACAGTCCTCGATGACCATGACTTTCTTGGGTTATCCCGGGGGCTAACCCTCCCGGGGTTAAAAATCCCAATGAAAAACTTATCTTATTTATCTTACCCCCTCTCCCATCTACTAACTCCCCCCTCTGTTTTTTAAATGACAAATCCCTACGTTCCCTAGGCTTTTT